TTCAAACACGAGTTTTGAGCAGTGTAGAGTAGCGCTTGTTGTTTGTCATTTCTCCGATCACAAATGCAGACAGACATGGTTTTGTTTACGCGGCGCGATGCAACGCAACGCGTTAAAAGACAGCATAAGTCATTATAATCAGTAATTATGTCCCCACTGGATGCAACAAATGCCTTGAGCTGATATGAACTAACAATGAATAGTTGTATTTTTATTAATGAACTATAATAAATACTGTAACAAATAAACCGCTCATTGTTAGCTAATTTTAGTTAATGCATTAACTTACATTAAGTAATGGGACCTTATTGTGAAGTGTTACCCACATTTCTGCTAATGTCTTGTGTTTTCTCAAGCCTTTTCAGACCGACATTATGCAGTTTTCTAGTTTGTTACTGGTTGACGGTTCTTCTGCTGCAAACCCAACCAGGCTTTATAATGCAGGTCAAAAGTCTGTGCGAGTCGAGGCTCTCTCTAACCCTGCAGATCTTCAAGTCCTAAACAACTTTACAAAAATTGTAAAGAGTTGTGATAGTCAGTTGCTCACCTTTGAGAGAGATCTTAGCCTGAGTTTTGCCATTCCTCCTCCAGCCTTTGTCTTTGATGGAAAACTTGTTGTGCTCCTCCATAGGTGACTTGTGTGAGGACAGGGCGCGCTCTGAGATGGGGATGCAGATGTCTGAAGAAAGACAGAAAAGATCAATTGTAACTTTCTCAGAGTCAGTATGGGAAACAGTGTCTATCAGCGATCATTCGAGGAACGTACAGTTGCTGCAGCGGTTGCCAGGGCAGCACATGTTGTCTCTGTGGCAGCGCTTCTTTCTCCTGCGGCAAGTGAGGCAGCGGGACGGGGCGTGCTGAGGACTGTGGCAGTATGTTCCCACTGTGCACTCTTTATCACTGCTGCATGGATACCCCTGAGAAAAGAACGAGAAAGACAGATCAGATGTGGTTCTTCGCCACCAAACCCTGTTTTCAACACAACACACAATTTAGTAAGAACTATACCAGTACACCATAGTGAGCCATTATACAAGCTTCAAAAAACTTGTAAATTATTAGTTCCTTGAACAGCAGAAAACTTATATTTAATGTTACAATAAAGATAGAAATAGTTGGAATTAGGAGTGACAATTGTTTATATAATCTATCAGTATGACAAAAGTTCAAACTATCTTGTAATTAAGAGGATAAGTGATGCTGTCATAGAAAAAGAAACAGAAAATATTGAAATTTATTTGAACCCATATTTGAATTAGATTATTCCCATCATTCATCCATGTCACCAGCCATATTTTATTTTCATTGTTAAGTGACCGCTGAAACTTCTGGATGAAACTGCATGCAAAAAAGAGTGTTCTGTGTTTCCTATGATAAACTTTTCATGATGGGAATGTGATGAAAATATTGCATTCTGCTACAGTATATTCTTTCTACAAAGAATATACTGATTCTTTCAGAATATATTCTTTCTTTCTGGGTTAAAATAGTTTTTTTTTTTATCTTACCTGTATATTATCTTAAAGCTTCTGTAAAAAAAACTCCACAACAATGTACAAAACAAGACAAACACTGCAACAATATTACAATAATATTAATACTGTAGTCGTTAGAGGTCATTTTCACTACAGTCCAAGATGGTGCCATGATGCAAGAAAAAAGTCAGTTGCAAGATATAAACTCAGAATTGTGAGATGTAAACTCTGGATTGCAAGAAAAAAGTCATAATTATGAGTTTGTATCTCACAATTCTGTTTAAACTCAGAAATCTGAGGGGGGAAAAATCTGAACCTTGAGAAAGAAAGGCTGAACACTACAAGATATAACCTCAGAATTGTGAGGGGAAAAAAGGTCATAATTATCGTTTTTATTCCATAACGGAAACGGGATTCCATAACATAGAGACATTAGGATATACACAGAATCTGTAATGAATGTTTAGGCGAACACAAATAACCAGAATGCAGCACATTTTTATGTGGTTAATTTGTCAGTTATAGTGCCATTTTAAAAATGTAATTAATGTTACATAATAGTACACTGACAAATTGTCTAATATAAGTGAGTAACGTGATGTGTGGCCAAGTATGTTGTCCCATACTTGGAATTTGTGCTCTGCATTTTCACACATCACCCAAGTGCACATACACACACACACACACACACACACACACACACACACATAATAAGAGCAGTAGGCAGCCATTTTTTTGCTGCGTCACCCGGGGAGCAGTTGGTGATTCAGTGCCTTGCTCAAGGGTCTCACCTCAGTCATGGTTACTGATGGTGGAAGAAATCATTGTCCCCCCACCAACAATTCCTGTCAGTACTGAGACTCGAACCCATGAACTTCAGGTCCGACTCTCTAACAAATATGTCATGACTGCCCCCTATGTGTTTCATATTAGCATACCTTTGAGATACAATTAAGTTAGGCTAGGCTAAAATGGTTTAAAGCAGTCTAGCTGGTGCCCAAATCCTCCAAAATCAGCACACCAGACCTTAAACACCTTTTACGGCTGCAGTCCGTAACTTTTTTTGGTTAAAAATGATCCGAAATCAATTATAAGGTTAAGTTACCTTAATGTAAGGTAAAATGGATAGTTGTAACTGAGCTTGACAATGCTATACAAATCACAAACTCCAGAACAGAAAGCAGCTAGTGAAGATTTAGCAAGGGAAATGCGTTACATCACCCGTAACAATCTTCATTTTGGCGTCAAATGCAAAACATGTGTTCCGACAAGGGGAGAAGAATATCTTAATATCTAATAACAAAAGAAACGAGTCTGTTTTCTGGACTGACAGACCTTAGAGCAATATTCCTTTCTTATGCAAGTAATAGAATTGGTAACATTGAAAACACATGATGAAACCCGGCCAAACCACCAACGATACATTCACGAGACGAATAAGGAACGGATGAGGCCCACAAAATGTTTAAATACAAAAAAGTCACTGACCTAAAAAAAATCAGACTTCATTCACTGCATCATTAGAAAATGATTGAGTACATTACATTAGCAGAAGAATAAACCATATAAAACCGACAATTCCATTCAGACATCATTAAAATAAGACTTCAAAAACATTTCTCATCCTCTTATTCGTTTCAGTTGTATGATGTGCTTTGACGTAAATCATTCTCAGCTTTCAGGCTAAATCATGTCAACTTTTTGATTCCAAAGCTGCAAGAGTCACCCGCATCTCTCCATAGCGTTGCACAAAGCGCCAGAGCCAACGCAGACACATAATCGCATCTGCACACAATCTGGCAACGTCATCACATCAGGATTTTAATGATCCGACCAACGCTTGGATACGACTCGTTGATCCTCATCCCTCATTGATTCCATAGTCTGTTTTTATTCCTCCCATACAGTACATTCATGTGTGAGATTTGTGGCACGATGATAAGCTCAGAGACAGACGGCGATGAGGGATGCCCACTGCCCTGTGTCACCGCTCTCATGCTAGCAAAAAAAGGCAGACTTTGAAGACTAAACATGCCATGCCTTTGAAAATCTTCTCCCTATCTGGATTCTCCCTCATGTTCATTTAAGGACTGATATCAGGTAATATCCAAACTACAGTACGTCAAGTCTTATCTTGTTAGTAGCAACTGATATGCATGCAGTACTTTAGCAGGCAGATTTGTAAACTGCCTGAAAAATATTGCAGTCTAGTGTTTTTTGTTTGTTTTTTAAACAGAAGAATTAAAATGTAATATTTTATATCAGTTTAAAATAAAAATATATATTTAAAATGTTATTATTTTTTTATTATATAAAAATTAGTATATATTGTATATACTGAAGAAACATCTTCACAACTATAGGATTAAAAGACTTTCTCTGAACTCGCGTATATAAAATATACATAAAATATCAAATAATAGAAAATTTAAAAAGAATCGATCAAATCGCAATATTTTGCATTTTTTATTTTTTTTTATATTTAATTTATTCTTTATAAATTCTTCATGATGAAAATCTTTATAATCTTTCATTATAATTATATATAATTTTTATAACCGGTCCTACTCGTTAACAGAACCTCAGCATCAAATTAAATAAAAGAAAAAGTTAAAAGTCCCAAAGCTGCGGCACTGATGTGAAACAGCTCTCGTGTTCATGTGGAATGCTAGACTCTTCCACTCTAGTCGAGAGGTTAACGTGGTGAACGAGTTCTGCTAATCCCAATATCACTCTTTTTGGGTTGCCCACAACTGGACACCACCCCTTGAACATTTACTCTAATCGTCTAAAGTGAGCAACTTTGGTTTGTTTCAAATATAGGTTTCTTTTATTAGTGGACAACATCTGAGTTTCACTGTTAAAGAGTTACCCCGGTCCTACTTGTTAACGGAACCTCAGCATCAAATTAAATAAAAGAAAAAGTCCCAAAGCTGCGGCACTGATGTGAAACAGCTCTCGTGTTCATGTGGAATGCTAGACTCTTCCACTCTAGTCAAGAGGTTAACGTGGTGAACGAGTTCTGCTAATCCCAATATCACTCTTTTTGGGTTGCCCAAA